TCCTGCTCCTTCTCACTCCCTCTCTCTGCCTGTTTTCAGTCTCGCATGACAGTGAAGAAACTAGCTGTGTCACCCAAGTGGAAGAATTACGGGCTGCGGGTCTTCGGCTATATCCACCCCTTCAAGGATGGTTAGTGTCTGCACCAACCCCACAACCCACCTGCTATGGCTGGGCTGGGGGGGTGCTGCATAGAAGACCTTGTCTCCCCAAGCCTTGTCGTCCGTCCATCCATGTCTTTCCCCCCCCGGTCTCAAACATCAGCCTTTAGAGCCAGGAATAGCTGTGGAACTGCAAAGGCCTCCTCCTCGCCACCTGCCACTTAGTCCCAGTTGCTCTGGGGATGCTGACAGCTCCAGTCTCAGCCGGACAGCTGCAGAGCTGAGTCCCTAATGCACTGAGTTGCATTAGGACTGCAGACTCCAGTGCCCTCACAACCTTGCCCCCTCACTGTCCTTGCAAGACAAAAAATGGCCTTCAGTCTGGCACAGGCTCCCTACCCACCACTGGTCCATACTGCCACTGATTGCTCTCTTTGCTCCATGGCCCCATCTAACATTTCCATTTTTTCTTTCCCCCTAGGGGACTTCCAGTTCTCTGTGGCATCAGACGACAATTCAGAGTTCTGGCTCAGCTCTGACGAGAATCCAGCCAACACTCGGCTGGTGGCATTTGTGGGAAAGGTAGGGCACCCTCTTCAACTTCTCCCCTTAGCCTCCCTAGGTGCCATCAACCTGTGCAGCCAGTGCTGCTGAGCTCTTGCGGACTCCAGGCTCTCCCTGCACTCTTTATTGTCCCCGTGCTAATAACACTGTCTGGTGGAAAAAGCCCCTTGGTGAGATGGTTAAGTGTAACCAGAAGCAAGAGAATTGCCATGGGGTTCCATAAAAAACTTGAGCAGGTCCAGCTGTGATCCTGACATCTGGAGGTTGTCTCAATCCAGCCCCAAGGCATGTGCCAAGCACCATCACACATGTGCCTGCTGTGTCCTGAATATGGTGCTGCAGAAGGGCTGAGAGGGCACCTCTGCCCCCAGTGTTTGCTTTCACTGCCTGAAAAACATCACTATCTGTTGTAGCCCCTGTGCTTTACTGTGGCAGGTTAGGGTGTTAAGTCTTGTGTTGCCAAGTTGATGTTAGTTTTTCTAAGAGGTTAGATTATGCATAGGTATAGGGTGGTTTGGATAGGGATGATCCTGCCTCAGGCTGGGGTTGGACTAGATGACCTCTGGAGGTCCATCCCTTCCAGCCCTACATTTCTATGATTTCTGTGATTTCTCTGATCCTGTGAGCTGGCCTCTGGGAACAAAATTTAGTTCACTTTGATACTAGAAGGGGATGCTTTTTATTTTGCAGCAATTCTGAAGAGACTATATCCAGCTATTTTAGTGAATTAAGAAATAGAAGGGAGGGGAGCTTTATTTCCACCCTTCGTGGAAAGATTGTGAGAATTTTGCCTTTTAATAATACGCAAAATGGCAAGTAATTGTAGCAGAGCCACTGCTCTCAGCAGACACAGGGTGCACTGGCCTCTGGTGGGATGATGAAGAATAAGGGAGAGGTGAGAACTAATGAAAATGGTGTTAGACAGACAACTTCCTTCTCTCCTTCAACCTCACCTTTGCCATAACGTCTTTAATGGTAGCATATGGTGGGGGGAGGGAGAGGGATAGGGGGGACAGCAGTGGGGGCTGCTAACTGCTAACAATCAAGAGGATTGTTTTCCTTTTATATTTGAACCATTGAACCACTCAAGTGTTTCAGACCCCACTCCACATGTCTTTAACAGTTCCCAGCACCAACTGTTTCAGGGAAAAGTTTCAGAAAGCCTGCAGTGAGCTGATGAAGGACCAACTGCTCTACACACCCCCAATAGCAGCAGTGAGAGACTGGTTTGAGCCCCAACACATGAAGTTTGCTACCTCTTCCAGAATTTTCATTAATATTAGCTGTCACAGAGCTAGATATTCCCGTAACCATTGGAAGTGCCTAATTCTGGGCTAAGTCTTTGGCCTCAGTGACTTCTTGTGGCATACAGTTGGCCAATCAAGTGACACATGTAGAAAAGCAAATCCTTTGGTTGTTTTTAGCCTTTCACCTTGTCCTCGCTTTCTCTGTCCCCATCTGTTGTCTCTCATCCCGTGTTTAGCTTGTGAACCTTTGGGGTCAGAGATGAGAGACAACAGCCTGCTCTGTCACCCACAAACCCTGTCTGTCTTGTTATCATTGTAGCAAGGGATCTCTCCCCTTCTAGTGGAAGGCAGCAGGAGCAGTGTAGCAGGAATCAGGCTGGGGGAAATGCATCCAGCAGAAAGTGGAGCTGCAGGGCTGAGCATCTAATGAGGGAGACTGAGAGCCCTTGTGGCAGATTTGAGGATTGATAGCACCTTGCCCCTGTTTTGCAGATAGCCAGGTCAAGTGACCAGAGGAAGAGGAGTCAGGGACTATATGAGCCCTGGCACCGGGCTGAGAGTTCATTTTGACTCATACCAGTCTGAGTCAGATCTCTACAGTGTAGGAGCTCTGCAGGGAGCTGAAAAGGGAGAGCATTTGGGTTTGGGGTTGGGTTCATGTTAACTATGAGGTTTGGGGTGGCTTAAAGAGGAGGAGGAGGTTACTGGTGGGGTGCCTGTGAGATACTCCATGTTGTGAGAGGCTAAGGCCCAGACAGAGCCCTGCCAGGATCTGGGACCTAGTGGGCAGCTAGGGACTAAAGCCTAGGGAGAGGGGCCTGGAAGGGCTAGGGGGCTCAGACAAAACCAAGTTCTGCTCAGGCTAGGGAGTGTAGATTGGACAGACTGGCAGACTGATAATGAGCAGGGTGGAGGCAAGGCATTGAAAGCTGAACTCTGGTTCTCTAAAGGCAGCCTCCTAAGCATAATAATTTTAACATCAAGATATGGCAGGAGGGAGAATGAGGCCAGATTAGGGCAGCCGGAGAAGGAGATTGGGCATAGTGTGGTCCCTCGGGGGTGCTATAGCCATCCCTGGAGGCGCACTCCATTACAATTATACACACGTTTGAGGCTTAATCCAATGGCTCCCTTGCTGGTAATGCTAGGTTCTACCACAGCACAACCAAGTATGTACTCAGCAGCTTGGTCTGGAGCTCAGTGGAGCCAAGGGAAAGA